TCATATTATGTTTTCTTTAGACATAAAGTAGGCAGTTGTTGTCCCCTAGAGCTTTTAAGCTTATATAACTATACTTTGCAGATATTTGCATTGCCTCCTCTAAAGAGGATATTTTAAATTGCGCCGGGAAAAATCACACACATTTTAGCTTCAGAACTTGATCATCTGTGATTATCGTGAATATGTGGTACCTGTTTTTCCTAAGACAAGCAAACACTTGTGTTTATTGAGGCCAATCGTCTTCACTAACCTTGGAAAATTTGGTTGTGCTATTGCCTGAGCTTGACTTCCTAACATAAACAGTGGTAAAATTTGACTCCTACATTCTGATGAAACTTTACGATTTCTACGAGAGCAGCTCCAGGCCTATAGCTGTATCGTATATGGCGGAAATCTACAGACGCATGCAACCTACGCACGTATAACACTTTCTGGATCCTTTCGTATCAAGTCATTCAACAAGTTAGCTGTCTTAATATGCATTATCTTTATCGTTATCGCCTTGTCAACTATTCCTGGGGTTTTCGTCCGTTCGGTTCATTAAGCATGTTAATAAACCAAAATATTTACTAGTGTCAAGTTGTAACGGATATAAGTGTTTGGATCGGCACACTAGAAGGTAAATAGTGTCGCTTAGTCGTAAATATAATTATGAATAAGTATTTTGAAGGTTTGAGTAGTAAACGCCGCCATACATTATACGGCTTTCATTGTTTAGTTCAGACTGACACGAGCGGACCTAAAGAATCGATAGAGCGAGCTACAATACATGTGGAAGTACACGCATTAGTAAATATGAATGTTCCCTGTATCAGCTACTCTTTCTCACACAAATCCCGTCTAGTCTATTATCTTATGTTAACTATTCACAAGTTACTAAAACGGTAGGCATATTGCTGATAATTTTTTTCTCTTTCGACAGCTGGGAGGTGCTATTCTGTCTGCTGTGGGAATCTACCTGATTGTGAAGGTGCAGGAGGTCGGCGCCTCAAAATCTGAGGCAGTTGTTCTTCCGGCTTTCATCCTGGCCGTTGGATTATTAATCTTTTTCCTGGGATTCCTCGGCTGTACAGGTGCAATTGCAGAGAATGTCTGCTTGCTGAAGACCGTAAGTGGAATCCTCAATCCTTCAACGCTATTATAGTTTGCCGTCATAATGTCCATTTTAGTGCTCCTCGAAGCTGTGGCTGCCTTTTTGCTATTTGCCTTCAGAGGCAAGGTTAGCGAACTTGACTTGTTGCCTGATAGTTTGCGTTATTAGTGCAAGGAGTTTGTGGAGAACGCATTGAAGAAAATCATTGATCGAATTGTTAGCGATACTGCCGAGCCCAACGATGTGGCAGCGATGGATTTCATGCAGCAAAAGGTAAGCAGTATTTCAATAGCTCTCCATTGACGTGTCATTCCTAAAGTTCCAATGTTGCGGTGCCAAATCACCGGCAGACTGGGGAGATAAGATGCCCTCTTCGTGCTGCAAAAACCAGGCGTCTCCTTGTCCCAACAACTCCTACACTGTGGTACGTCCCCTTTTAGCTAACAATTTTGCCAGTATTAATTAATTAATGCGTACTGGAATCCTTGCATTTCAAGATTTTCCGCACGTAAAACGATTTTTGGTAAAGATGTGAAATACTTTGACAGTATAGTGAGGACTTTTTGACTATGCCTTTATTGTTGCTGCCTCGTTTTTCTACCCCGATGCTGTTTTTTCCAAACCACAAAATTATTTTTCTCTTTTATCGTGCTAACTTGCGTAGTTAGGCCACCCAACTAACTTCTTACCTAATGTAAATCGCTAGATGATGCATCCTTCCCACAAGTGTAGGTTGTTTTTAAGCATCTCTGAGATCCCCGACTATTCGGTGTTACAATTATCCAGGTAATAGCAACTAAAAAGTCGTGCCAGGGACAAAAGTAGACCGAGTGCTCCCGCATATTCGGGATTATTGCCTTCTTCTTAGTGACTTCTGAACAAACGAGTATTTATGAACTGTCTATGAGACGAAATTTTGAAGCATGAAACCCTTTGTAGGTTGCCTTTTGAATACAGTTCATGCCTTTACAACCTATCAGAAGTCAAAGGTGTGGATCACAGTATCGCGGCCATCAAGGCATCTCGCTGAAATGATGTTAGGGAATAACCTGACGCATATGCCGGTTGATGATGTGTTGTCGTTTTCAGAAACGCTTCTTCTCGATATTGCTGACCTATTCACTACGGTGTTTTCTCCTTAGGAAGTACAGGAAAACAACAGTTGGTGGTTTACCATTCTTGAAAATTAACCGTTATTGAATCATATTGCGGGACTCGATTAAAGTATTTTCAAAAATCAGCATCACGAGAATTATACCTTTCAGTTGGCCAAATTGTGAAAAATTCGCGGCCTTGGTGGGCG